CTGGAGACCCCCCTCTCCCTAGTTTCTGCAGTCACAGCCTTTGGGACACCCAGAGCACGGGGTTGTATCCCTGACCATTGGGGCTAATAGCCATTGATGGGCCTATCCTCCATGAACTTATCTAGTTCTTTTTTTAATCCAGTTACATTTTTGGCCTTCACAATATCCCCCGGCAGCGAGTTCCACAGGTTGACTGTGCGTTGGGTGAAGAAATACTTCCTTTTGTTTGTTTTAAACCTTCTGCCTGTTAATTTCATTGGGTGACCCTTATGAGATGTGAAGTAGTAAATAACACTTCCTTATTTACTTTCTCCACACAATTCATGATGTTATAGACCTCTGTCATATCCCCCCTTACTTGTCTCTTTTCCAAGATGAAAAGTCCCAATTTTATTAATCTCTCCACATACGGAAGCTGTTCCATACCCCTAATCATTTTTGTTGCCCTTTTCTGTACCTTTTCCAATTCCAATATATCTTTTTTGAGATGGGGCGACCACATCTGCACGCAGTATTCAAGATGTGGGCGTACCATGGATTTATATAGAGGCAAATATAATCTTTTCTGTCTTATTATCTAGCCCTTTCTTAATGATTCCCAACATTCTGTTCGCTTTTCTGACTGCCGCTGCACATGGAGTGGATGTTTTCAGAGAACTATCCACCATGATAACAAGATCTCTTTCTTGTGTGGCAACAGCTAATTTACATCCCATAATTGTATATGTATACTTGGGATTATGTTTTCCACTGTGTATTACTTTGCATTTATCAGCAGTGAATTTCAGCTGCCATTTTGTTGTCCAGTCACCCAGTTTTGTGAGATCCCTTTGTAACTCTTCACAGTCTGCTTTGGACTTAACTAACTTAACCCCACACCACTGGGCCTCTGCCACCCCAGACCCCCTCCATCCCACCACTCCAGGCTCCCATCTCCACGTGCAGCCCCTGGCACCCCAGAGAGACCTCCTCCCTGCAGGGTTCCCACCTGCCTAGAGAGGAGACACCCTTCCCTCCCCACACAGACTCTCCACCACCCCAGAGCCTCCCCTCCCTTCCCTTCACCCCACAGTGTCCCCAATGTCCTAGACATTCCCCCAAGTCTCCCTGTCCCCCAGAAGGAGCCCCTTCCCCTGGGGTGGCTTGGCACTCACTGAAGGTTTTCTCCATGTCCTCACAACGCCGCACCTCACCCACGAAGCGCCGCTGGAAGGCGTTGACATTGGGGTTGAGCTGGGGGAGCCGAGACAGCACATCAGAGCCCAGCTGCAGCCCACCCTGCGCGGGGCCCCGACTCTGGGCAGTTAGGGTGGGACCAGCCACCCCAACAGCCCCAGCCCATCGCTCAGGGAGCTCAACTCCTGCCCCTATTGGGACCAGCCACCCAGTCAGGGACCCCGACTCCTCCTGCCCACCCCGCTAGGGACCAGCCACCCCAACAGCCCCAACCCCTCAGTCAGGGACCCCGATTCCTGCCCCTATTGGGACCAGCCACCCGGACAGCTCCCCAGTCA